CCAAATGGTAGAACTAACAAGGAAGGTGTTCCTGTCTGAATTGAACATGGTGGAATCCAGTGGGGGGAGATAGGGAAACACAATAGTATTGTGTATGAGTGATGAGATTGGTAAGCTGTTTCAGAGATGCTGGCTTTGTGCAGGTTAGCTACAGTTATCATAGCTGCAAGAAGTTGAAGCAGGTCTTGGCACGGTGCTGTATCCCTTCCCAACCCTCTCCCTGGGTAGCAGGGCGATTTCAGAGGTGCTCCCACCTCTGCCTCCCCCCGTTTGTGCACCTACAGCTCACTGCCCGGCCTCTGCCTGCTCCACCACTGCAAGTGTGGAGCCTGGAGCTGCATGGGCTGCATTCAAGAAAGCAGATGATGAACATTCATCGCCCAAAAGGGCAGAGTACTAAGGAGCAGTAGAGGCGTTTTCCTCTCTGTTACACCAAGTAGCTCTATTAACATGATGCAGCCAAGTCTATGGGATGGGGGAAGACATGACTGTCAGGTACTTCTTGGATAGATACTTCTTAGATACTTACCCAGTTGTTTCTTCTAGTTACTACTAAGACCATCTGCTTTAAAAGCAGATCTGAGTTACTATTTAGTCTATTGCTGTTATTCTGAATCTGAAAGCAGTCGCCTGCCTTTCTGTTGCTGTAATTATCTTCACAGCAATTATGTTTGATGCGGAATAAGAGAGAGTTATGATTCCAGTGGTAAATAGGCAGCAAGATCAAATCTTGACTCACCAAATTAGATTTCTTTGTGTAATTCCTTCTTGATCCTGAATGTACCCAGCTCTGTCTTAGATGCAATGTGTCTCATAGCATTATTTTGCTTTGCTATTGAAACCACAGCCAGGAGGAATTCCAACCTTGATCCGCTTGGACATTCAGGTTTGTTCTTCCTCATGTTCTGATGATACTTCAGTCACTAACAGGCTGATGCATGCTATCAGATGGAGACATTCTCTTGTGCCTGGCAAAAGCATATTTGTTTAAACAGAGAGGTTTTCACAAAGGCAAATACTTTTTATTCCAGATAGTGTGGTCTGTACCATAGCATCTCTGCTATTTCTTCTCTCTCACTTTTCCTGGATATGGACACAGGCAGTCAGACTTGTTCAGGTGAATTGGATACCTGGCTACTTTCAGGGTACTGCTTTATAGAAGAAGTTGTTCCGTTATAGCAGCGTTTACTCTGGATCTATGTTCTTAGTTCCGTTCTCCTCTTTGGTTTGTATATTTTAAGCAAAAAGCATGTCATTTATGAAGTCTATTTATGAATCCATTTGGTGATCCTGGGTAGTCTTCCAGTAGTACCTCTAGGAGATCAAACACTAAAGGGAAAAAAATCTGGGTGAGAAAATGTCCCCTTGAGGTGTTTTTTATTAATCCATTAATAAAGAATACCAAAACAGGATATCATTCAGCATCTCTTAATTATATTTAGTCATCCTGTGTTGAGGTTCATGGTCATTAACTGCTGTAGTGGCAATATCAGTTGAGACAAAATTGCGCTATTGAGGGGAAAGCAATCAGGCAGGGAGAAATTCACCTCTGTTGTTGTTGTGCTCTACTGTATTCCAGGATATCAGCAGCTAAGATGTATGGCATCATGGTATAACTGGCTTAATGTTCACAATAAATGAAGAGCAGATCCCCCAAATACCAAAGAAATGGGGAGACGATCACAACTGCTGCTGAAGGAGGCTGGAAGGGCTGACCCCTCCATAGAAGATGTACAAAGGTCCTTCCAGAAAACCTTTTTTGTGATCAGGGCTACCAGCAGTCGGAGGAGCCTGAGGCTCTTCGCAAGCAGGGATGTTGTACAGTAGGTTGTCTTCAGAGTAAGTAGGAATTTGAGGGCATCCACAAAAAGAAACTCCTCTTCATTGCTGCCTCCCTTAAAACTTGAATGCTAAGTGTGGTGGAAGGTGCATCAGGCTTGAAGAAGATGCTGTGCAATTTCTATAGTCAACTATTTCAGTGATACACAGTGTGGGGAAAGAGGAAGCAATGTTAGAAGGAGCACATCCACCCTCATTTTTAAAAATGCTGGGATGGGATCTGCACACTGCTGTACTTCCTGATCTTCCCTTCCTGATCCTTTTGGAATTAGGAAGATTAGGAAGTCTTTAAGGTCCCAGACAGCATCGAGACCCCCCCCCCCCCCCCCCCAGATACCATGGCAGCTTATTCAGAACCCATAGATTCCCTCCTCATTTCTCATCTCCATTTCCAAGCCAGCATTTGTTTGCACTTTGGCAGCTCTCAGCTTTACTGTCCCTGCCGCCCTGGATTTCTGATTTCTCTGGTACATCTCCTCCTAGCCACAGAGTTGCATGTGAGACACCTACTCCCCATCTGCACGTTTCCAAATCAGAACAGCGTATTTATGATCACTACTGGTAGCTGGAGGGACTTCTCCTCTCACCCACTGCAGTTTTTCTCACGCAAAGAGAAAGCACAGTAACCAGCTCATGGAGGTGTTTGCATTCCTCTTAGAGACAAGACTTTTGCAAGTTTACATGATGCTGAATATTGCTTTTTCTTGAAAGCATGGGCACAATGTGGGCTGGGTGTTTCTGGCTTAATCTTGGAGCCAGATTCAAGCTCCTTTATTATTATGGACACTCAACCATCAGACAAATGGGAGCAGAAGTTGCTGGGTGCATCTTCCTTGAGCACCTTAACCACTGTACACTGCCCAAACTTGGGATAGAATTTGGGCTGTGTTCTGCATTTTATACCACTCTTGTATCTTTTATGTTTCTCTTTTATAGCAAGAAGCTTTGACCCTTTTACAGCAGGAAGGTTTATAAACATCTACTTAGACCATGCTCAGACAAAGAACTAATAAATATCCTTGTGAATCAAGCATGCCGCAGAATCAAAGCTGGAGAAGATTTCAAGCCTTTTCAGACTGTCTGACAAAAAGCATATGCCTTCATCAAATCAGCTCAGCTCTCCATGCTTTCAGAGGCTGCCCGCCACATTCTGGATCTCATGTAGAAGAAATGAGCTTCTGAGATTAAAAAGCACATTTCTGGGTGAGAGGAGAGGGATTCAGAAACATTAATGGGAGCAAAATCTTGAGAGATAGAAAAGAAACAGTTTGTTCCTTTCCTTTGGAGAGAATTCTCATCTGTGTGTGGATGACCTGACCTGGTGGAAAAGAGGTCCCAGAGGTGGTGCCTTCCATCTGGGCATTCATTGATTCTTTTTTTTTTATTGGGTTTTGTCAGTTGTTATGGAGAGTTTTGTCTCCCCACCTACACAGCTGCCCTGCGCTCTGGAGGCTTTCAATTGGCTCTGCCAGGCAGCAAGTGGCGTTTGAATGTATCAACTGAGACTGTTTCTATGCAAACAGGGAGACCTGTGAAACATTGCAGCAGTGCTTCAGACGCACAAAGCCAGGAGCTATCTTTGGCTCAGGGTTGTGAAAGCCCCCCAAGCTGCGCAGGAGTGAGATGGGGCTGTTGGCTCCTCAGCCTCTCCAGGCACCTCGGCCAAAGCAACAGCAGGAGAGCACCAAGCTGGACTTTAAAGCATTTGATGCTAGAGCCGGGGTGGTACTTTCAGATAGTCTTACGTGTACTCACTGTGTCGTCTAAAATTACTTTCTAAGTTGTTTTCTATATCAGATTGTAGACAGAAAACTAAGAAGGGAGGTAGGTTTTGGGTTAGCGTGTTTTTGTACCAGTTCACTGCAGGAAACCTGCTATCTCTGATTGTAAATTGTGATGGCCATCACGCTCTCTCATCTCCCTTGCGTTTCCCAGTGGGATGCTTTCTGTGTTACTGCATGCAGCTCCTTAAAATTAAACAGAAACCATCAACTGTGTATGATCGCTTGGGCTCTCATTATGAGATGCCTTTGTCCTGGCATTGCTCTTATCACACGTGCTGAATGTGTAATTCAAACAGAATTCTGACTACAGCTAGGAAAATAAATGATGTGTAAATCTTTGAATTCACTTTTTCTTTCTCTTTCTCTCCCCTCCCATCTTTTTTTTTTTTATCTTTCTCTTTTTAGGAATGAGATGCCCATGAAGTTTAATCTCTGTTAGCCTGAAAAGAAAAACTGGGGAATAAGAGTTATGGATCCTTTATACTTTTCCAACACATTTAACATGGACTCCAGTTCCAGTGATTTGAACTCCTCGCTGCTGACAAATACAACAGAGAATGGGACACTCTCAGAGCAGCTCCCATTCAAATACATCCACAAAGTCCTGATTCCCATCTTTTACATCCTTGTATGTGCAGTTGGACTCAGTGGCAACACATTGGTCATTTACGTGGTTTTGCGCTATGCCAAGATGAAAACTGTCACCAACATTTACATCTTGAATTTGGCTGTTGCTGATGTACTCTTCATGTTGGGCCTACCCTTCCTGGCCACCCAGAATGCCATCTCCTACTGGCCTTTTGGCTCCTTTCTGTGCAGGCTGGTTATGACCGTAGATGGTATTAACCAATTCACAAGTATTTTCTGTTTGACTGTGATGAGCATGGACCGCTACCTGGCAGTAGTTCATCCCATTAAATCAACCAAGTGGAGACGTCCCAGGGTGGCCAAACTCATCAGTATGACTGTCTGGACGTTCTCATTCCTGGTGGTGCTTCCAGTCTTCATCTTTTCAGATGTGCAGGAAGACTTTCACACCTGCAACATGAACTGGCCAGAGCCTGTCAACATCTGGTCTGCAGCGTTCATCATTTACACGTCGGTCCTTGGGTTCTTTGGTCCTTTGTTGGTGATCTGTCTGTGCTACTTGCTGATTGTGATTAAAGTCAAATCTTCAGGGATTCGCGTTGGGTCTACAAGGCGCAGGAGATCAGAGAGGAAAGTGACCAGGATGGTGGTGATCATTGTGGTTGTCTTTGTGTTCTGCTGGCTCCCATTTTACATGATGAACATTGTCAATTTGATATTTATCCTGCCAGAAGACCCTGTGCTGGTGGGGGTGTATTTCTTCGTGGTGGTCCTGTCCTATGCGAACAGCTGTGCCAACCCTATTCTTTATGGATTTCTTTCTGACAACTTCAAGCAGAGTTTTCAGAAAGTCCTTTGCCTCCGAAAGGGCAATGGCATAGAGGATGGTGACCCCATTGAACATAGGCAAGAGAACAGCAGTCGCTTGCAGGAATCAATGTTAACCCAGAGGAATATTGAATTCAATGGACACATGCAGACTAGCAAGGTGTGAGGGCATGGTCTGGGACTGCCAAGAACTTGTAGACCTGGAGAACTTGAGACTTAAGGGAAGGACGAAATCACAACTAAAATCTGGAGGCCCACCAGCTCCAATTAGTGTACAGAGTCTTCTTTTCACTCCCTTCCCTTTCACAGCTAAAAGTGCTCTGGGTTATACTGAGCTGTGTGAAGTTCTCGTGCTGTTTCAACTAAGGCAGTCAGATGTACGTTACTGCTTCCTGTACTCTAGAGAACTGATCTACTGGTAGCCACTGCCAGCTTTGTCCTACTTCAGTAATCCAAAACAACACTAAACCTGTTCTAAATACTTTGTTAAGCTGAGCTCGTGGCTGGGGTCAGCTCAAAACAGAAAACAGCTCAAATAATTCCTGTGAAAATACCTTTGAAAGTCTTCAAGGGGATCTCTTAAAAGAAAGTACACTATTCCTCAACAAATTTCCACACAAAAAAGGTCACAGCACTGATCTTGAAATTATGTAAAATCCATTGTTTTAGAGTGTAGTCCCCTTGCACTGTTTTACTGTTATTAATCCATATAGACCTCAAAGTATTTTGGAGTTTTTCAAATAGCAAGAAAGAATAATAATGAAACAAAAAGTAGGAGAAAAATGTTGAAAGGATTCAACATGTTCATAATACTTTCACATTCTAAACCAAACTGCATATAAAATGTAATGTAACCAATTTATTATTATGTAAGTCAAAATGATCGTGAAGTGCTGGCAAGCTGTTGTGTATATTTATTGGTTCTGAATGTAAGTATGGATGTGAATTCAAGCTGTATTTTCAGAAATTAAAACAAGTTCAACCCCTTTTTGACTTTCAATTGCATAGATCCTTCAAGCATTTTCTGGCAATGCAAACAAAAAGATACAGCTGAGGCTTACCTCATTGTGGATGCAATAGAGCTTATTTGGATGGGGGCAATATGGGAACCTCAGTCCAACTCAGACACCAAAGTCTGTGTCTTATGGTGCTTGAGATCTCAACAGATAAACAGAGACCAAGTGACTGATGTGACACCAGACAGCAGGATGGGGAACAAGGAGCAGGATGCGGATCTGAGTCCTGCCTCACAGCTGACCCAAAACACTTGCACGGTTAAGTGAGGGATCTTCTACCGTGAAAGGATAAAAACAAATTACAGGTTTGTTTTAATGTTGGCAAAAGGCACTTAATCTCATCAGAAATTGCTTTATGCCACTGCTGTCACCCATGCAGGTCAAACGGTCCTGCAAAGAGATTTATTTGTGTGTAATAGAATGCAGGGCAGTGAGACAAAAGGAGAGAGCATCTCAGCTACTCCTTGCAAACTTTGGCGGCCCTTATCATCTCTAGGGGACGTGGCTGGGCCACAGCACCAGCAGAAAATACCAGCCTGCCAGTGTACAAATAAGGCAGGTAATTCATAAAAACTCCTAACAAACATGAAACTGACACAGATCCCTTCAGGGCTGTAATATAGTGAAGGATGGGTGAGAATGGAGAGATGGAGAACCCCAGTGTTGAGATTACTGCAGAATTTGGGGCAAGGACTGAGCACACCGGGCACACACTCACAGGATTCACTGATTCTTAGATTCTCACTCCTACCTAGTGCTGTTGGCTGCATATGCAGCATTTTCCTTCTCCGTGCTGTCATTCTCAGTCACACTTGCATTCCCCAAGCACAAGAACTTACTGGATGCCATGAGAGACAGCTGTGGGGTAAATGCAGAGCCTGCTGTGCCTCACCACAGGGCCTTTTGGGCTTCTTGCAATAGCCCACCTTCCGTGCACCTGCACCATACCAGAAACTTTAATTCAAAATTACAGCACAACCAGTCATACATTGATTAATTAAGTCAAGCAAAATTTATTATTTCTGGAATTATCAGGCTGTTCAAGGTATAAATCAACTCTCTTATCAGTTCTTGAGACACATGGAGTAATTAGCGCAGGCCTTCATGTCATCTTTGCCAACTCCATCTGCCTCCAGTTGATTAGCCAGAAGTTCTTCTCCAGTGACAGAATTAGAAAACCCATTTTAGTTCACAGATCAGTTTGCAAGCAGCGGTAATAATTGATGCTCTCACAGAGGGAGGCTGCCGTGCATGCACAACATCAGTATTGCTCTGTAGAAATGCAGTTTGCACGGTACATCCATGCCATCCTTCATCCATCACAAGCTTCAGTTCATCAACAGTTGATCAACATCTGGCCATGAGCCAGCAGTGTGCTCTGCTGGCCAAGAAGGCCAATGGGACGCTGGGGGGCATTGCACAGTGAGGCCAGCAGGTGGGGGAGGTGCTCCTTCCCTCTGTCTGACCTGGGGTGCTGCATACAGTGCTGGCCTCCCCAGCTCCAGGCAGACAAGGAACTGCTGGAGAGAGTCACACAGAGGGCTGCACAGAGATGGTGGGAGCCTGGAGCAGGTCCTGATGGGAAAGGCTGAGAGCCCTGGGCTATGCGTCTGGGGAAGAGTAGGTTGAGAGAGATCTCATCAATGCTTACAACTATCTAAATGGTGAGGGTCCGGAGGATGGGGCCACGCTCTGTTTGGTGTCACCCAGTGACAGGACAAGGGGCACTGGGCACAAACTGGAGTCAGTTCCACACGAACATGAGGAAAAATGGTGAAAGTGGCAGAGCCATAAAACAAACCACCCAGAGAGGAGAGGGAATTTCCCTCATTGGAGATATTCAAAACCCTCCTGGATGCGTTCCTGTGCAACTTGCTGTGGAGCACCTACTTCAGGGGTTTGGACTCGGTGATCTCCAGAGGTCCCTTCCAACACCTACGATTCAGTGATTCTGTGATTCTGTGACATGGCTCTCAAATGCATTTCCTCTGAGGATCGGATGCCTCTTTTAAACATCTTTCAAACCAAGGGTTTATGTGGGTGCTTCTTTAAAAATAAACACATATTACTGGAATGAATCATGCACCTAGAGATTAAGCATTATAACAACAAGTGCATGATGGAACAAACTTGAAAACCAAGGAAAATTAAAAACTCCTCAGTAGATTAGGTAAGAACAGGGAAGAACTGAAGAATACTCACAAGACCAACACTTGAGCAAAAATTGGCAGTGTAGAAATATCGAAGATTTCTGGGTAGCTTCTTACTCACCCCTTAGGGAAAAGCTAATATTCATTTCAAACCTCTCTGATCACAGGAGAGAGCTAAAGAGGTGTGATAAATGAAGATGTAGAGTTTTATTGCTCCATCACATTAATACAGTGCAGTATCAGGTGATAGAAGTGTAACAGTAATCTGGTGCATTAGGGATGCTCTGTTTTTCTTTCCATGATGATTTTATAACATGCTGGAAAGAAAAGTCAACAGCGTTTCATGCCAAGATGCTTCATAAACATTAATATAGTGCTAACAAAAGCATCATCTTTTACCATGGAGGAAGAGTTTTATTGCAAACTATAAGCACTTGGTGTACCCAGCAAAATTTCCTTGTTCTTTTCTCTGATTCCAAGTCAGTTCAGCATGTATTGCATGGAGTCACGGTGCACTGAATATAATCTACAGTGTTCTTTAGGGTTATGCTAAAGAGACTGTCCTCATAGGTGTAGAGCCACTCTGGACAAAATAAATGATGTATGCATTGAAATCAATTGAAATTGAAACAACCTCCAAAATTGCTCGCATCTTTTCTGGGTCCATCAGCACATCCAGGCTGACCCTGAGCTCACTCACTTCAGGGCTGAGCCAAAGTGAAGCAAATCAGCCTTGATTTCAGTGTGATGGCAGATTTGCAGGGCACGATGAAGGGCTGGACCTTGCTAATCACTTGGGAGTCTTCAGTGACCCATTTGATGTTCTGACCACAAGCGATGAGCAGAAAGTCTTTAAGGATCCTGGGAAGCATGATCTCTGCTCGTGAAGTCACTGATCCTCTTGTCATTGGTTTCAAAGGAAACACATTTTGGTGAAGCACTGAAGGTTAACTGCTTGCAAGAATGGCATCAGAATGTGGAAAAACTCAAAAGTGTCTGAATTTCTTTTCAATTCTTCTCTTGACTCAGAGTGGGGCAGTAGGACTGGGATTCTATTAATCTACCATAAAGAAGTGAAGAATACATTTTGTAAATGTGTGCAGCATTTACTCATGAGATTGAAAGAGCCTTTCCATTAGGGTAATGATTGACTTGTCTTCTAATTTAAAAAGAATCAAAACTAATTTTATTTACCAAGCAGAGAAACGGTCACGGTCCTACGAATGAATAAATGTGCACTTCTGCAGAAATATTTGTTTTGCAAACACATTTAATTTAATGCAATATATTCCCATAAAAACATCAGAAGTAATGAGGAGGGGATGACTCTGTCTTGTTATGTACACTCTGAAGAAAGGGTGGGCTTGAGCTTATGCAGCAGCTTAGGGCTACAGAGATCTTGGTTCAGTTCCTGTTTTTAAACTTACAGCCTTTTCCAATGTCATTTCCAATGTTTTCCACCTGTAAAGTAACACAACACTTCTTTTGATAGAGACGTAGAATCATTATGGTTGGAAAAGCCCTCTCAGATCACCAAGTCCAACCCCCACCCATCCCATAATGCCCACTGACCTTGCCCTTCAGTGCCACTATCCCACTGTCCTGTGCGCTTGGAATATTTCAAAGTCCCACCACAAGGGGCTTTTACACCATGAAGTGTGCATCTGCTTTTTGGAAGCTTGCATCTCTTTTTTTTTTTTTTGGAAGCTTACATCTATTTTATCAAAGTCATGCAGGAACAGTATCTTTTTTTTGAAAATGAAAAGTTTTGCTGCATTGATTTTATGTCTCTTTGACACAGCTCTCTTTCCCCTTATCCGAGTGGGTCTTTGCAGGTAAAAGCTGTGCTCAATGGGCAATCAGGTGGCTCTCACCAACAGTGCATCTTCAGAAAATGTGCAGCTGGCTCTGGGCACTGTAAGCACTCTAGTCATTACCTGCTCCAAGAGGAACAACTTCAGAAAGAAATTGGGTTTCGGTGTGGCACTCTTGGGGTGAGGAGGGTTGAGTAATGCCTCCCCTGCTGCATTAACACAGAATCCATTGGCTTTGTGGCTGACAAGAGCCATGCCAAGCAACGCCCCCTGGGACCAGGGCAAGCACTCAGTGTCACAGATAGCAGATGTGAACGATGCTTGATGGCTACAATAATGATTAAACAATTTGGCATGAGCCAGATAACTTTTGTCAGCATTTAGGGATTATAGGTGTGTGTGTGGTATATAGGCTAGAAATAATATTCTCATATTCTGGGGAAAATGCAGGTGATTTGTACACGGCAACAGCATAAGTGAAGGAATGAAATCTGGCTGAGGCCTTGGGAAATCTCATCTCTAAAGCACTTGAAGGAGCATTCCGGCACACAGCATGAAACAGGAGCTTTGACATCCTGAATGCTGAAATTGGAACAAAACCTCCATGTTGGCATTCCTGTGACCAGCCAGGCTCACTGTGATGTACCTTATCTGTGTGCTGCCACGTCTGATCCCACTCAGCCCTGTCTCTATGG